CAGTCATTCAGAAAGAAAACATTCACGCATTTGTTATATCAATTCCATTCGTGGAATTCGCCCTATTTGCAATACGACCATCATCATAATTTTGAATGACCATATTTTAGATTCTGTTCTTACGCACAATCTTTGGTGCATCCAGTAATTCAAACATACGGTTAGGTGTGAATTATCGCTTCCTCTGTATTAGATTTCACGAGTATTGCACACCCGTCGTACTGCACGGGTTTCGAACTCTAGAACCATCGCAGGAATGGTGTGCGCGCTAACACTATGCTATTTTCATCATTGTGCTTGTGTTTTCTCAACAGCACAGATCACAGAAATGATCTTTCTCGCGGATCAGTTGAATGCAATTACCTGATAGCTACTCATGAAATCGTTTGTCGCGCGGAACTTCTGACACCTTGTGATTCATCACTTTGCAATTGCGATCCCATTTGTTACAGGAACAACAGAAATCAGCCTTAGATTCATTCAAGTTACTATTTTGCTCTTTTGCTACCGTTCATGGAATGACTGTAAAAATACTCCTAATACTAAAACGTTTGGAATGATCCTCCTGGATATTTAAAGTCGAACGAAAACAAAATGCTGCGGTCCCTCTTTATCATGCTTATTTACATGTACAAATATTTCTTCCTTATTACTGGGATCCCCGAAATAAATTATCTCATTTCAGGTATTCGTGCTGAAGAGTTTCGTTCAGGATACAGTAAAAAACCTCACTGAATTCGCGCTCAACCTAATCAATCACGCTCGTGCATGTGTGGAACAACTACACGATCATCCCACCGCCGGTAAGCGTGACGCCGATGCGGTACACACAAGCACACTGTTTCTGTACGTTCTAGATCAAGTTAAAATGCATTCACTGTCGAACATTCCATAGTTAAGTGGATAAATTTTTCATGAAATTTATTTACATCAAAAAAACCCCGAAAGATCTGTTCTGCAGTTCACTCGCTTCTTAGGAATCTTCGGCAGTGTGCACCAAATCCACTTGGATTGGAACTTGGGCACTGAAGCTTTGTTACGTTAACGCGTCAAACACTTGGGTTATCCGGGCTGACTCTCAGTAACTTCCTACACTATTTGATAAAGCGCTCATCCGCCACTGTGGTCCAAAGTTCTTGACCTGACCAGAGACCGGTCAATGCCATGATTCACGAGGTTTTTGCGGGAGTTCGATATATACAGAGCATAACTTTGGTAAGATCGGATGGTGACCTCTACTTCCTAGTTCTATTGTACGTTTATTTAGACACAGCCCACACGGATTTCGAATTAATTTAAGTTTGTCACAGTCTTCACGTTTATAATTCACTGATTTTGGGTTTGCACTGCATCTTTCAAAATTAATCGAAACAACCAATTCTTCGACATCATTTGCATTCGATTCAATTTGAATATAATGCCCGCTTTGCTTTGGTTCTTCTGCAAAATCCCTGTGTGTTACGCAAAGGAATAGTAAAATCTGCTCTTTCTCAATTATATAACACTTATTCATGTCGTGTGTATTTCGTGTTTAACAACGAAGCTGCAGAAAAGTTTTACTTTCTCATAATTCACTTGAGCTCATTGTATGTTGGTTCATATCACAGCCATGCAGCCCGACATAAGCCCTGCCAGTTTGGAATTGGCTCGCAACAAAGCTGCTGCATTGCTGGGTTTGACATTAGATGAACTCGATCGGTTGTGTGAGGTGCGTTCGTACTCTCGGAATACCAGTCGGCTTTGTTTGTGGGCAACTGGAACACAGAACGCCCATGGGAGACAGTACGTCACGAGTCTAGAATTTGCCTTGGATAGTCTTGGTGATTCGGTCAAACGATGGGTGACAATGGCTGAGCGATCATTAGATGAAGTGAGTATGGTTCATTTTTCTACCAGATTGTGAGAAGGAAATTTTTTTCCGGCTAATTAATTTGACTGACGGGCAAATCTAGCACACGGCTTTCACCGAATTCATTTTTATCACATTATTAGGAGTGAGTTTAAACCAAATGAATAGTTAATTTTAGGTACACGTCACACTTATAATGAAATTTCTTTATGAAATGATGATTTTCATAGAAAAATTTATGACTACTTACGTTCTTTCACGAATGCAACAGAAGCAAAAAACTGAGAAATTGGAACATGAGGAATAAAAATCTCCAGTATCAAGATGAGCTGATCATCCATTCATTCCAACCGCAATAACATGGATATTCTTGAACGTATTCAATAAACGACCGTTTTTCATGATTTGCGTCATAGCTCCAGTTGAAATCCTACAACAATCACCACAAGAATTACACGTAAAAACACGAGTCTCAATTTTCTGTGTACGAATGATCGAGCTATGCTACCATTTTCTTGTTGTTGCCGAGTGAGATAAATATCATTTCACCTTCGCTCTACAAACTTTGAGGTCTTTCAATAAATTTTCGGTCTACTTTTAGCTGTTCGAGTACTTTTGTATGCCGATTTCACTCTCTTCTATTAGAGTAATCACAACCGGAGACCCAACTGACTGCGCAAACAACGAAACGGAAATATTATCGCTTTTATATTGTGACTACTTATGAGTAAACAAACTCGCACAACGCTGTAATAAAATTGTTACTGGAATTGCAAACGAAAATGTCTAGACGTCAGACTGCAGACAGAGGCACTCAGATATATACATACGCACATACATAAACACACACACACACACACGAAATTATATACGTTTCTATCTATTCTAATAGAATAAGCACTGAATGATACGTCATCCACTACTGTTGGTCGTTATTCTCTCCGACCGTTATGCATGGTGCGTTGGGTGGAGGTTTTTCCAAAGAATAATGGTTTTCTGCGACATCAATCAAACCGTGAACCAACATTAGCAGTAACTAATAGATGCAATACGAGCAAAGGTTAGTAAAAATCTACCATTCAAAATAGTTATTCATACTTTTTCCAGTATCGGTTCAATTGTTATCAAACATTTTCGCGTAGATTGTAATGTATCAGCCATTTGATGAATAACCGAAAATGACTTTTCTTCTGTGATGCTGTATTTTGTTTTTACTGTCAAATTTATTCCTTGTTGTTTCGACTTTCTGTCGCTCGTTCATCTTCCAGAAGTTCATGGAGGAGCCGCTGAAGGCACTGTGTACAAACGTGTTTCACGATTTGGATAGAATATTGGAAATTTATGGCGAAACGATAACAAGTTGATACTCGATTGTTAACATTCGTTTTCACTGATCTCATCGATTTACCGGTTTCGGACACATTTTTCGTTATGTTTGTCTGTGTGTATGTGTAACATTGATCGTCATATATTTGTCTGATTGTTTGGATTGGGTAATATGTTTCTCTTTTGTTGTTTTCTTCATTTGAATTTGTCACATATATATATATATATATATATGTATATATATACGCGACACATTCATAAATGCTATGTTTTGAGTAGGTGAACAGTGCATTTAACTAATTTTGACCCCTTCAGAGGGACCTAAAAGATAAAGAGTAGGTCAGTTTCTTTCATTGATAAAAGGAAAAGAAATATACGAACGAGGTTTCACTCTGATACGCAAGACAGTGGGCATTTATCTGAAAAGGGCCTCGTAAAATATTTCAGCCACTCATTGCGTACATATAAGTGATTATGAAAACGCGTTCCGCAGGCTTGTACAAAATTTTATTTGTTGATATTTACTTTTAACATAAAATGGAAACAAGCTGGGAGCTACGGACCAATCGATAAGTTTTGTACGAGCTGATAGCAACTCACTCACTCCTTAGGTATCAATGTAGCATTATATGATGGTATAAATGTAGGGGGCGTAGATTTGAAAATGCTACTGTGCAAAGTGCTCAATTTTCGACTCATTCGAAGGTCTCCGAATTCTGAAGGGTTCTGCTAGCTGTATGCGTCTCGGGGCGCGTATGCGAACAGTCGTTCACTTGTAAAACTGATGCTACGTTAAACACCTGATCACGATTGACCACCTGGAATGTCTGGGAACGTGACCGGTTTGCGTCGATACCATGCCATTCCCCACCCCACCCCCCCCCCACCCCCGACAAAAATATATTGATATTCGCGAATCTGACCTGCCAGTAAATAAGGACACCACCGTTATCCGATTTTCTTTAGATTCCATTCAGCTTTGCACGACTGAGGATGCCTCCTTAAGGGTAGAAACAGTGTTTTTGGGATGCATTTTTTTGTACTATTTTCTCGAGATTATTCGTAATCGAATTAATCTGGTCGACTTCTTTCAGTGTTGAAGTAAGTAGGTTAAAAGTTCGCGCTATCAGTATGGTTAATTAAATGAGACAAAATTCAGGGAAGCATCCAGTTTAAGTGAAGGTAAGTTTAATATCGACCACCAATGATACACGTAAAATCAGTAAAAGATAGAGGTTTTGGTCAAATTTCCTATAACTCCATAAAGCATTGCCCCAAAGGAAGACAGAGATATAAATTTAGATCTTCCACTGAGTTTGAGTTGGTTACAGTATTCCAGGTTAACAGGATTTCAGTAAAGTTGACCTAGTCTGGAAATTAGCTTCAAGTTATTGACTTTCACTTTCTCAGTTAGCAAATATGTAAGTTACATTCAAGAGCTAAATATCTTTCAAAATGTGTTCGAGCTGATTTTCTTATAAAAGACTGAATTAATCTTTGCGCAATAGGAAACAATAGGAAAGTATTTTTGTGGCACGACACACAGATATCACGTCGGTCAGTAATGAAATGTTGGCAAACAAGCTGGATGAAGTGAATTCAGTCCAACCGAACCACGAGGATTGATTTAGTTTGTTAACAAATTTCAAACCATTTAACTCAGGTAGAGTATCAAGCCTCGATTAGCCCATTCGATTTTTCAGAGGCACCAGGCACTCTTGATGGTCTTGGGTGTGAGTTTCACTCCTTGGTAGATCGTCAATTCCCCATGAGTTAATGCATTCAATGCATTCATCAAGAGTGCCTGGTGCCTCTGAAAAATGGAGTGGTTTATACTCTGCATTGATTGGGCCATTCGCACACGGTGTTGAGCGTCGACCGTGGAGCTCAAGGGTAAGGGTATGAAATTCCAGCCCGTAAAATCACGGTTCGAGTCCTGACGGGGGCGCAAAAAGTACGCACTGCTGACGAGTCCCAAACAGGACGAAACAGCTGTCCTGTGCTCTTTGTTGGTTATCATAAATCTTTCCATCGCATTTGAATGCATTTAAATCAGGGACCAAAGTGTGAACAACATCCGGTCATGGAACTGCAATGTTGATTATTTTATCGTTTCCTATGTTATCATGATTTTCTCCCCCCTACTTTTTGACTTGAATTGTGATGTATTAGCCTGTAGATGAATAACCGCAAACGAGCTTGTTCGCTACTGTGTTCTTCGTACAATTTGTAATGACGGTTCACTCGGACGCTTTAAAATAAGTCGTCAAACTTCGTTGTCTAATGGTTTGGGTTTTGGAAAACCGAAGGCTCTGATTTCTAAACCTGCGGAAGGATACCAGTTCTTATTTGAGAAACTAACACCACGATTGCGCCTACCCCCCCCCCGGCCCCCACCTCACCCCCAGAAAATAAATCATGTATCTGGTTCACTGCTACAACGAGGGTTGTACAATGGTCTGTCTGACGAAACGTCTGGTCTCATACCAACGCGAAGTGTGTGAAACTATGGGATTAACTAAAACATGAATAAATAAAGCGCTTTTCCCGTAATGATTGTTTGAACCAATGCTTGAACCGACTGTCAGTAGTTTATCAAATGTATTATTGTTTTAGTGAAAACCGCCATTGTCGGCAAAAAGCAAAGTTTACAGTATCATTCCTATCCCTCTAAGAAAGCTTATCATGTTGCGTGAGTGCCCACGGTCATACGTTGCAATCCAGCCGAACACGGTACTTCCCGAAATGAAGCGGAATAATGCGAATGATGCAGAGACCTATAATCAGCCGCAAATAAGGACAATTCTGTCTGATACTTGCTTTTTTTCATCTATCATTTGCATTCTCCAACCTCCGACTGGGCGTTGCTTACCCGTTCTCCCCTGCATGTCTTTTATCATAGATTTTACCTTCCAGCAGGTGAGGCGTCACTTTCGACCGGCCGCATGGGCGTGTAAAATTCAGGCCTTACCTCGCTTTCGGAACAGCCGAGATTTAATAAAGGCAATAAAAGTAAAGACATCCTCCAATATCTTGGGTGAGCAGAGCTGTATGCTACCGAACGCGTCCCCAGGTCGTGGATACGGGAACGGCCGTCGCCTCACGGTTAACTGTGAATAAAGTGGGCTTCGGCTCTCCAGATAAGCGGTCGCGGACAATCAGAGGCAGCGCTTGAGGATGTGGTGGGTTTACTTCTTGGCAAGAATAGTCCGCACAAAACATCACACATATCCGTGGACAGCGCTGTGACGTGGCGAGTGTTGCACGCCACTAAATATGGCCATCGCCCCTCGTGGAATTCTTTTGTTCGGCAAGTTTCAA